GGGCTCCCTGCTCAGCGGGGAGTCTGCTTCTCCCTCTGACCCTCCTCCCTCTCATGCTCTCTATCATTCTCTCTCTCTCTCAATAAATAAATTAAAAAAAAAAAAAAAAAAAAAAAAGTAGGTTCTCTGTCTATACATTTATATCTTGCTACATGTCCCAAAGGATTAAGGCAAAAGCATTTAATAAATATTTCTAGCAGTAATGAATATGAGTGTTTTATCACTTGAAAAAAGCTTGGTTTTTGTTTTTTGGTTGGTCAAATCCCAAACTCTTCTTCATTCATTGACAGAAAATAAATAAACCAAACTCATTTAATACTGGTAGTCAAGGGGTACCTGCATGACTCAGTCAGTTAAGCGTCTGACTTCGGCTCAGTTCATGATCCCAGGATCCTGGGACCAAGCCCCGCATCGGGCTCCCTGCTAGGCTGGGGAGTCTGCTTCTCCCTCTACCTCTGCCCCTCCCTCGGCTCGTGCTCACAGGCACGTGCGCTTTCTCTCTCTCTCAAAGAAAGAAATAAAATCTTTATTAAAAAAAAAATACTGGTAGCCAAAAGAAACTTGTTTATCTGCAAAACCAAAGCAGTCATAATGGATTTAAAAGGAATATGTTAACAAGCAGACTATGTATATACACAAACCACATCTATTAGCAGATCAGACCGATAAATGAATTGCTGTTACTGCTTTACCCAGGATCCTGTTTCTTGTCCATGACCAAATTATTTGTCCAATCTGAATATCCAACTTTACCTGCAGTGCTTGTTCTTGGATATCACGAAATAATTCCATATCTTTCTCAGTCATGATTTCCTGGCTCCCAAAAAGCCGTTCCTCACTTTCTTGTTTGCCATCCCAGCCATCCTGATTGTCTGCACATAAAAAAAGGGCTCATATGTTATTAATATTATCCTTAGTTTAATAATTTCAGTTTGAAGACCTTAATATTATTTTTACAAGAGAAGAGGATAGCAATAAACTGACACCTATAAAGATGGGTCAGTAAATAATAAGTAAATATTGTATCTGCTTATAATGAAAACCTGACCTGTCCTAAAACTTCTTAAAATTATTACATAACTAAATTTCAACTTCATTAGTATGTTATATTTTAGTATACTATAATATATACATGTATATAATATATACATATATATGTGAATATACAATACATGCAATTATATATTATAATATATACAAAAGTTTGATGAGCACCATGTGATGTATAGAAGTGTTGAAACACTATACTGTACACTTGACTAATACTACATAATATTATACTGTGTATGTTAACTGTAATTTAAATAAAAACGTAAAAGAATAATAATATATACAAAAGCAGAACAGAAAAAAGGTCTAAGGAATATGAAACTTTGAAATAATATGAATAAAAAATTTTTAGTATGGATTTAATATATCAAAATTCAAATACTGCTGTTTTCATTCTTTGGTAGTATGGAAGAAGTTTATGTTACAGTAGGACATGATTTTCATCACACGGGACCAAAACACAGAAAATTTGTTCCTTTTATAAACCTTAATGATCCTGTGATCTTCATAAGGCCAGTACATTCTTATCTCAGCAAGAAGATAACCTTCGAAATAACTACCATACTCCCCTCACATTCTGGGTGCCCTTTTAAATAAGCAAAACTCCACAAATCTGAGGATCACAGATGATAATCCTCTGGGTAAGTATGACAAATTATAATAATCATTCAGTAAATGATGTATCTTCCTCACATGGGCAAGGAAATTCATGAAAGGAGTATTGGGGGATTATGTAGATCATTATCTTCTACACTTGAAGATGACACCGCCGATGGACTAATTTCCTATTTGTGTAAGTATGGCAGAAAAGACCAATTTGTGACAGTTCTTTTCAAATTAAATAGAATATAGGGCGTCTGTTATTCACTTAATGTAAGAAGAATAAGGACAAGGACTCACCGCTGAAAATATTCCCAAACTGAAAAATAATGTATCTGAAGATACTACGTGACTTTAATGCCCCCTAGTGCATGATACAGATGGATGCAGGCACAGATCATTCAGCAGCATTCTATCAGATGGTGCAGACTGTTCCTTAAACTCTACAATTCATAAACTTACAAAGCCAATTACAGCAAAAACACCAATGCAAAAAGTCAATACCGATTCTCCATATACTTTACACATTTTCTCTAATAATTTCTATTTCTAAAACTTTCCAGGAGATTCTTGTAATAATCCATCTCCAGTGAAACACTTAATTCAAAAATGCCTTTCACTAGGATCTGCTTTAGATTCCTTCCTCCTAGGTCCAACCTAAATGGCTTGCATATTTTCTTAGGTAAACGTACTCAGACTGGAACTACAGTGTACATGGCTGATAAAGACATGAAAAGTACTTAAGCACTTACAGAGTAATTAGTTGATTGCCATTCTGGTGAAAAGCCAATCAATACAGCATAAAAAGGGGGACCTGACAATGATGATTTCCTCTCCTGTGCTGGACCAATCAACCATTTATATAAGCAGGAATGAAGAAGCACTGAATATAATCACCAATGAGACATTCAGAGGAAGGAAATCAACGTTAAGAAATTCTCTTGCAGTATAAGAGATACTACATCTTTGGCCCTTGTGATCCAAAGGAGTCCATTCTTATTCTTCTACTTTCCTCAGACGCTTTTTTACTTACTTCACAGGGTTAAGTCTGTAAACTCACGGCACTAAATAGCAATGAGACTAGTTTAAACTTTAATTATCAAGACAGCTAATGACTTGAATTACCTGCTACACTATTAAGTCTTCTCTACAGATCTTTTCTACTTTGAAAACTAGGGAACTCAGCCTGATACACAAGTATGAAATGAATAAAAAGAGGGGATGCTACAACTGATACCACAGAAATACAAAAATCATAGAAGACTACTACGAACAATTATACCTCCAAAAACGAGACTATCTAGAAGAAATGGATAAATTCCTGGAAACCTACCAAGACTGAATCATGATGAAATAGAAAATCTGAACTGACCAATTACTGCTAAGGAGATTGAATCAATAATCAAAAACTTCCCAACAAATAAAAGCTTCACCAGTGAATTCCACCAAATATTCAAAAAACACTTAATACCATCCTTCTCAAACTCTTCCAAAAATAAAAGAGGGAACTCTTTCAAGCTCATTTTATGAGGCCAGCATTACCTAAGCCAGTCACAGAAAGAAAATTACAGGTCAATATCCCCAATGAACATAGATGCAACATAGATCCTCAACAAAATATTAGCAAACTGATTTCAACAATACAAGAAAAGGGTCATCATACACCATGATCAAATAGGATTTATTCCAGAGATTTAAGGATGGTTTAATATCCACAAATCAGTCGATACACCACAACAACAAAATGAAAGATAAAAATCAGATGATCATTTCAAGATATGCAGAAAAAGCATTTGACAAAATTCAACATCCATTTATGATAAAAACTCTCAACAAAGCAGGTATAGAGAGAACGTACCTCAACATAATAAAGTCGTATATGACAAGCCCACAGCTAACCTACTCAATGGTGAAAAGCTGAGAGATTTTCCTCTCTTTAAGATCTCTCTAAGATCAGGAATAAGACAAGGCTACCTACTCTCACTACTTTTATTCAACATAGGATTGAAAGTCCTAGCTAGAGCAATTAGGCAAGGAAAAAAATAAAAGGTATCCAAGTTGGAAAAGATTTGCAGATGACATAACAGAGAAAACCCTAAAGACTCCATCAAAAAACTCTTAGAACTAATAAATGAATTCAGTAAACTTGAAGGATACAAAATCAATACACAAAAATCTGAATTGTTTCTATACACTAACAATGAACTACCAGAAAAAGAAATTAAGAAAACAATCCCATTTACAATTGCACCAAAAAGAGTAAAATACCTAGGAATAAATTTAATCAAGCAGGTGAAAGACCTGTACATTGAAGACAAAACACTGTGTGTGTGTGTTGTGTGTACACACACATATATATGACATTAATGAAAGAAATTAAAGACACAAATAAATGGACAGATATTCCATGCTCATGGATTGGAAGAATACTGTTAAAATGTCCATAGTACCTAAAGCCATCTATAGACTCAATGCAATCCCCATCAAATTTCTAATAGCATTTTTCACAGAAATGGAAAAAAAAATCCTAAAATTTGTACACAACAACAAAAGAATCCAAATAGCCAAAGCAATCTTGAGAAAAAAGGACAAAGCACTAGAGCTCCCTGATTTTAAACTATATTACAAACCTACAGTTATTAAAACAGTATGGTGTTGGCATAAAAACAGACACAGATTAATGCAACAGAAGAGAGCACCTATAAATAAACCCATATATATATGGTCAGTGAATTACAACAGAGGAGCCAAGAATATCCAATGGGGGAAAAAACTGCCTTTTCAATAAATAGTGTTGGGAAAACTGGACAGCCACATGTGAAAGAATGAAACTACACAACTCTCTTACACCACACACAAAAAGTAACTCAAAATAGATTAAAGACTCGAATTTAAGACCTGAAACTGTAAAACTCCTGGAAGAAAACATAGGCGATAATCTCCTTAACATAGTTTTTGACAATCATTTTTTAAATCTCATACCAAAAACCAAAAGCAAAACAAAACAAGCTGGACTACATCAAATTAAAAAGCTTCTGCACAGCAAAGGAAACCATCAACAAACTAAAAAGGCAACCTACTGAATGTAAAAAGATATTCAAAAATCATATATCCAATAAGGGGTCAACATCCAAAATATACAAAGAACTCATTCAACTCAATAGCATAAAACAAACAACCCACAGGGCACCTGAGTGGCTCAATTGGTTAAGCCTCTGACTCTTAATTTCGGCTCAGATCAAGATCTCAGGGTCGTGAGATCGAGCCCTGTGTTGGGCTCTGTGCTGAGCATGGAGCCTGCTTAAGATTCTTTCTCCCTCTGCCTCCCCCCTCTTCCATGCTCTCTCTCTCTCAAAAAACAAACAAAAAACCCCACAAAAACAATTCACTTAAAAATGGGCAGAAGATCTGAACAGACATTTTCCCAACAAACACGTAAAAATGGGCCACAGGTACACGAAAAGATGCTCTACATCATTAATCAACAGTGAAATGGAAATCAAAAACACAAGGAGATACCACCTCACACCTGTCAGGATGGCTATTATCAAAAAGACTAGAAATTATAAATGTTGGTGAGAATGTGGAGAAAAGGGAACCTCTGTGCACTGCTGGTGAGAATGTATATTGGTGCAGCCACTATGGAAAACAGTACAGAGGTTCCTCAAAAGATTAAAAAGAACTGCCATACAATCCAGCAATTCCACTTCTGGGTATGTAATCCAAAGAAAACAAAAACATTCATTTGAAAAGATATATACACCCCCGTGTTTGCTGTAGAATTATCTACAGTAGACAAGATATGTAAATAACCTAATGCATCAACGGATTAAGGAAACTGTGGTGTTTGTGTATAACATTATTCAGCATAAATAAATAACATACATACATATATACATACATACACACCAAACTCACAGATAAAGAGAACAGACTGGTTGTTTGCCAGAAGAAAGGTGGGAGGTAGAGGGTAAGAGAAATGAGTGAATTATTTTTTTGTTTTTTAGTTTCAATAAACAGAATTTTAAATAAATAAATGAAAACTAGGAAAGTTAGCCTAATACATAAGTAAATGGTCTGAAGTTGTAGTTCTCTCCCTTTCTCTCTTTTAAAGTATAATTCATGAACTATTACAACTATATTTGCCAAGATTTGAAGTAGAAATATCAGTGACCTTATCATACTCGCATGTATTTTGGTCTTTTCTCTATGCTTAGATCAACAGCATTTTATCCACCCATACTCTTTCCAATTTCCTTCTGGAAATAATCATCATGATGCTCATCACATGATTTGTTTTGTAATTTATGAAATGTAAAGATATCCTTGATTTAAGGTCATACCTTAAATTTCTATAAGATTCTTTGTGGTTCTACCAAAAAAAAAAAAAAAAAAGCACCATCTTTTGCCTAAGAGTTCCTATTTGCCCACTCTTAAAATTTCATCTCCAGCCTCTCAATCCCTGCCACAGTCACCACCTTACTTTAATCTAAATATGTACCTTTAATATGTTCTTCTAGTCCATAACCATAGATAATAATCAACTGTAAATCTATTCTAGATAACTAGTGTTATTCCAAATAATACACTTTGGGAATACATTTTGCTTCTAAGTAAACTTTTACCTGTGGGCCAATCTGAAGTGCTCGATTTTCTGTTGCCCTTTTTCCTGATTCTATATTGCTCAGAGTAGTCTACCACTTCCCCTCGAGGTTTCCGCCCATCGGGGGAAGGGGTGAAGAATTTGGTAAGGCCATCAATGAGCCCTTTGGTTTTCTTGTTGAATTTCAAGGGGACACTGCTATCTCTGCAGAAGTCCAAGCCATCTATTCGCTCTAAATATCCTTCTTCTGATGACGATGCTGATTGGCTGGAAAGGGTGATTTTACGTTTCCGGCCCCTTCCTGGACCAGTTCGAACTTTGCTGAAGGGACCTTTTGATCTAAAAAAATCAAACAGGTAAAAGGGTAACTCTTAAAAAAGAAATCCTTGTAAGGTTTCTATTTAATATATAACATGTAATTAGTAAATAACCTCTAGTTTTATTTTAAAAACTATATTGTTAAGACTATTCCATAAACCATAAATATTATAGGAATGAGAAGTAATATTGTTATTAGAAATAATATTTTCGGAGAGTCTAGTATTTTATAGCAAAAAGAATCTTAAGGTTGGGAGTCAGAAGGAATGTTTAAGTCATAATTCTGCCACTTTCTAGCTATACGTCTTAGAGAAATCACATTCTGTCTAAACACCATTGTCTTCATCTATAAAATGAGAGTTGGACCAGAGAACAATTAAGACCCTTCCAGGTATAAAGTCCTATGATCTCTGTATCAACTCAGAGTTACACTTTTACCTCTACACACAAGGATGCATTACTCTCTCAAAGTCAGGAATCAAAAGATCATCTTATAGGAAAATTAAAGCCTGATTTAAGATTTAAAATATGAACTACAATACTGGTGCTGTATATTTCAAGCTGCTAATGCCCATTCCTTTCAGTTATTATCTTCAAGACAGTCTAAAGTGTAGGAAAGGTGGGTAAAATTTTTAAGAATACAGGTTTACAGGCTTAAAGATATCTTACATATCATCAAAAGGGAATTACTATAGACACTCACACACACACACAAAAAAGAATTAGCTACTGAATCTTGCCCCACGTCCTCCAGATATAGCCCAGTTTCCTAGTCCACAAGGGATAATTATATCCCTGATTTCTGCTAACAGATGAAAAACACATTATTTTATTTTACATCAGGACACAGAAATGGGACTTGGCTATGACCTCAACAGCAAAAGTTATCCAGTGATTATTTGTACATATAATATAAATAAACTACTGAGACCACATTAGGAGAGGAATCTGGGAAATGCTATAATATAATTTTTTCTTTGTTTACATACAAGCAATATAAGGCAGTATTTAAGAGTTAGACTTTGGTGCCAAACTACTTGTGGGTTTCAATCCCATTTCAACACTTACTATAAACTGTGCAAGTTAATCTACTGTGTTGTAGTTTCCGCCTTTGAAAAATAAGAGTAACAAAAATACTACTTCATTTGGTTGTTGGGAAAATTAAATGATCAACACATCGTAAGGCACTTAGGACTTTATTCTAACTTGGCACTTTATTAAGAGTTCAGTAAGTACAGCCATTATTATTACATAAAAGTGCCAATTGTAACAACTGGAATTTTTTTCACAAGGCAAACAAGTGACTCCTACACCAAGAGAAGACCCTATCCTTTTCTCCCCTCACCTTGCCACAAGTACAACTTACACCGTGTTTTGTTTCTTTAACCTGTTTTTTGGACGTCCAATTGGGTTAGCATAGCGCCGTTTTATCTGTGCTGCCTTCTTCTGTAGAAGTTTCCGTCCTTTTTTCCTAGGTCGACATATTTGACATATCCACATGCCTATAAAAAACAAAATTCCACATAAAGCACAAAAGGCAGAGATACATGGAAAGAGTTCAGATACTCTAGGAGTTCTTAACCTTTCTTAGGTCAAGGACTCCCATTTAAAAATCTGATGGAAGCCCCTTAGAAAAATAAACATGAAAACGTATACACACAAAATTCTACAAACAACTGGAAAAGACTCACAAATATCCTAAAGCCCACATATGGCTGAAGTCCACTGATCCTCGTTAAAAAGCCCTGCTCTACCCCCTGGCACCCAGATTATTAGTTTCCAATTACCATTCTATAAGAAAAGAAGCCAGGTTTCCATAGAGTAATAACTGATTCCAGGACTGGAGCAAGGAAAATACTTGATAACCTGGAGCATCTTACAGTGCCAGAAAATGGAGAAGTGCTCAAAAGATGAGGAAGGCATGTCAAAAGGACCTAGAAGCCAACTTGAAAGAGCTCCCAATAGCCAAATCTGGGTAATTCTGAGCAAAGAAAGGGATAATCACATCAATGGATTATAACCTATTGAATAAAATATCCATGAGTCCATTAATAATATAATAATTGAACAAATAAATAGGAAAAGGGATAGCTCTTCCTTGTAGCAGAATTCCAATTAATAAATGTAGAAGGGATGATGGAAGCAAAAAAACCATCATCATGTAAACACCAAACTAAAATTAGGGCAAACAAGAATCACTGATGGATGCTAAAGTTAGTACAGGAGGAAAAAGAGTAACTTTAAGGTCAGGTTTCTACTGTAATCAAGTGACCAGTTAACATTACCAGTAATAAGACATATTCGTATTATACACCCACACTACAATGCACTAAGAAGGATACAGTATCAATTCTGTGTTGTTCTTATCAAACTTCATAATCTTAATTTAATCATGATAAAGAAAGAGACAAGCCTAAATTTAAGGACTTTCTACAAAATAGCTGGCCAGTTTCTTCAAAAGCGTCAAGGTCAGGAAAGACAAAGAATTAACACAGACTGGAAGAGACTAAGGAAATATGACAATTAAATGCATTGTGAAATCCAGGACCGGATTCTGGACCACAAATTCAAATACAGTCTACAGACTAGTTAATTGTATCATATCAATGTCAGTTTCCTCGTTTCAGTAATTGTACTACGGTTTTATAAGATGTTAACATTAGAAGCTGGTGGTGGCTGAAATAAGAAGTCTCTGTACTATTTTTGCCACTTCTCTGTAAGTTGCAATTACTTCAAAATAAAATGATTCCTGCTTTAAGCTGCAAAGAAACTTTTGTAGGCACTATACACAGGAATGAAGTCCTAAGAAAATCTTTCTTATCTTGAAGGATTCTCAGAAGGCCTTCTGCCCAGACTTCAAATAAATGGAAGAGGTAGGAAAGGGGTATTTATTCTTCCAATACATATAAATCTAAGACTTTTCAAAAGGTAACAACCAACAGAATGACGTAAGAGGGACTCAAGTAGGATCCTAAGTGGAATAACTTGACTATACCTAAGGTTCAGTCCTTGCCATCCACAGGAAAATTTTTCCCAAGAAGAAATTATCAAATATCCTATAAGCATTTTACTTAAGAAACCTATTAAGTCACAAAATCAGAGTTAAAAATGAATTTGTGATAAGGAAAAAGCAGGAGAGACTAACTGGACTTTTTTTTTTTTTAAGAAACTATAAGCATATAATAAGATGGATGCTCAACCAACAGGCAGTTATCTTCCAACCAAATACCTTTCAAGGAACAGGAGTCAAAAGAATAGAATAACATTAAGCTGTACTCTTATGAGTTAGGGCACAAAAATTACTCGTTTGCAAATCATTTTATTAAAACATTTTTTTAAGTTTTGAATAAACCAGAGATGCTCTAGGCCTTTCAAAAGTGATGAACAGTGAAATAATCAATACTGATATAATCAACATGATCTAATACAATTTCATTTCTTCCTTTACAGAAAGAGATATTTCAAAATATTACACAAGGCAAGTATTTTGTCCTCTAGCTACAGGACTGGCAAATATTCATTCATAAATGAACTACTTCGCTCTCCACGGATACTTAAACATCAAAAATAGAGGAAAATAATAAATCCATACACATAAGAACGTTAGGATGCCTCAATAGACTATCCCCACCTTTAAGGAGACAGCTCTCTTCCTACTTATACAATCCCAAATAGAAAGATGCAAATTATTCTTTCATTTAACAAAGTAGATAAAAGGTGCTTTCACTAACATGCCCTTTATATACTGCCAATCTGATTTCAGAATGTATTTCTCACCTTTTGGCATCCGGGTGAGTGGCGGATCACAACACTCCATGTGAAAACCTCGGTCACAGGAATCACAAAAGAGCATGTTATCCTAAAAAAGAAAAGGACAGTTTTGCTTAACCTTATGAAACAAAAACATGTGAGGATTACAACTTCATAAAATCTAGGAAGCTTCAATGATCTCATAAAGGAGATGAACTACCATAATAGTAAAACCTTCTTTAATTTATATTAACTGAGTTAATGGACAGTCTGAGTTAGCACAAGTTTTGCTTCAACAAACCTTTAATAAAGAACTACGGTTTCATAACTTTCAAGTTTATCCAGTAACCAGATATAAGCTAACTTTAGTTTTCTAATGGAAAAGAGAAAAGAACCATTTGTAGTTAATATACTAACTGACCATTCCTACTAAGTGAATGCCTCCATACTACTCAAATTTCAGGAGTATTTCTTTAGGCGGGGCTGGGTAGCTCAGTCGTTAAGCGTCTGCCTTCAGCTCAGGTCAAAATCCCAGAGTCCTGGGATCGAGCCCGACATCACATTGGGCTCCCTGGAGCTCAGCAGGAAGCCTGCTTCTCCCTCTCCCACTTCCCCTGCTTGTGTTCCCTCTCTGTGAAATAAGTAAATAAAATCTTAAAAAAAAGGGGGGGGGGTTCTTTAAAGTAGCTTAGTCTCTCTGCAAACATAATTAAGGTGCTTTAGAAACCACCTAGAAAGAATTGAAGTCTCAAAGAGTAAGTATTCTAAACTAATGATGTGTAATTTAAAAGAGACTCCTGTTTCAAATTCTGCTGGATCAAGTGACTAAAAACTAGCCAACAATACTTAAAGGAAATTACCAGTTGTACATTCTACTTCTAAGTGAAATATTCACATTGTAAGGCAAAGATACTCACTGCATTTTTGCCTTGATCTCGACAGGAGCTGCATGTTTTACACTCAATGCACTGCCACCGTAAGGCCTTCACTCTAACCGTTAGTTCAGGGGAAAACTTTAAACAGGATGGATGACCTAGTAAGAGGAGAAAATTCTCAAATGAAACAATCAAGGATCATTTTGTAATTGTATTAAAGGAATAATGTAGAAAAAGGCAATTACCTTAAATCAAAAAGGTATCAAAAAAAAGATGCTCTTGGAAGCTTGCCAGACATGTCTCATCAGGACTTGGCATTCCTATTCAGTTTTATTGATGCTAAACAGTACTTAGTACACCACCTCCCCCCACAATGTGATTATAAAAAACCTGACAAACTCCTAACTTTTATTAAGCCTGCATTAAAGCATTATGTGAGTACACATGCTTATATGTATACCAACACACAGCATGCCCAGGCCATTTCTGGAAGGATACCCAAAAACTGTTTGCAACTGTAATGTCCTAGGATATGAAGCTATAACTATTTTGAAGGAGAAGGATTTTACCTTTCACTTCACATTTCTGTGCTCTCAATTTTTAAAACAGTAACATACTACTTTTATAACCAAAAATACATTTTTATTAAATCCCATCATTTAAAGTGAGTTATTTTAGCTAAAAACTAAAATCTAAGCAATATTTCTATTGTGATCAGAATTAACAGTAACAGGGAAAAAAAGTCTCCTCTTCCAAGAGTTAGTATCCATTTGATTATCAAATTTTAAGAAGTAAGTCTGCCCTCACTCTGAAAAGATCTGTCCCTTTCCTCTAAATGTTGGTTACATTTTTATTTTTCTTTGGTGAGAGAAAGGGCTAGTTATATTATTTTCTCTCCTCTCCTTTCTATTCCTAAATAAATTTCTCTTTTATGAGATGCTATGAAGTTTACTATCAAAACATCACTGACATCAAAGGAAAATGATAAAGTGTAAAAATCTCATTCATAATCTCTTCCTAGATTAGCCATTCCCTGTTCTACTTTTCCTTTTTAGATTTGCTAAAAGCCCTTGCACAGTTTTAATTATAGGGTATGTACAGTTTTATTTTGCTTTTCTTCATCCTTTTAGTCAAGTAAACGTTATATTTATATTCCTTAAACTGAATAATTCCACTGAGTTGATACCCTATAACCTACCTCGCCATTTCCCTATTGTTAACTATTTAAACTATTACCCATAATAGAACACTACAATGAATTATTTTATGTTTACAGATTCTTTCCTTCTTTTAGATTAATTCCTTAAAGTCCTGAAAGTGGGGTTGGTAAGTGAAATGAAAGAAACATTTCTGTAGCTTGAGAAGTAGATATGCACTGCCAAACCATGTTTCCAAATCCTCTGATATAATATCTAGTGCTACCAGCAAAGTGCAAATGTTTTACCACGATTTCATCAGCTCTAGGTTTGGGTTCTCTTATTGTTCAAATTTTATTATTATAAAAGATATAAAATGACACTTCACTGCTGCACTGGTACACATGCTTATTATTACTTGGGTAAAATGTTTTCTTAGTATGTTCAACAATTAACTTTCTCTCTTAGAAACTACCTGTTCATAGGCTCTGACCTTTGGACTTTATGCTAGAAATGTAAACATGCTCTTCACACTTTATAGCTTTTGGCCCTTTACCATATTTAATGCAATTATTTTCCCCAAACAATTCTTTAAAAATTTTCTTTTTAATTTTGGGTATTTTAGTTCTCAGTTTGGAAAGTATCAACTGTCATATATTTGACTATATCCATAGTTTTTTCCTTTGTTACTGTAATAGCCAGGGTCCAAGCTGCCTTCCAAACATTCTTGCCTTTTGGCAAAAATACCAACTGACACCTGTGTAGTTCCCTCCCACACTAAACAGGGCTGATCTGTGTGCTGAAATGACAGGCTAAGGCTAGGTAATAAAAGATATTGCAACTTGTTCTCTCTCTCAGATACCTGCTTGGGGGAATCCAGCTTCCATGCTGTGGGCATGCTTGCAGCCCTCTGAAGAAGTCCACATGGCAAAGAGCTGAGGCTCCCTGGCAAGAGGCAGCATTAACATGCCAGCCAGGTAAGTCAGTCAATGGAAGCCTTCAGATAACTGAGTACCAGTTAAAATCTTGACTGCAACCTCATGAAAGATCCCAAGTCAAAATCACTCAGGTAAGCCACTCCCAAATTCCTGACTAACAGGAACATGAATTAAAAAATACTGCTTTTAGCTGCTACATTTTGGAGTAGTTTATTTCTACAGCAATAGATAACCAATAGTTATTTATTCTAATAGTTCTTTAAAAGTTCCCTCTATTGTTTTCAAATTGCAAAGAACTCAGAGACCATCTCAAATATAATGGGTCTTACAAGGCAGGGCTACCACACAACTCCCCGCCCCCCATTTTATTCCCATCTCACCTGAGCACATCTATTTTTATCTGTTTTATAATACTTAGGGTCCCATATGATTTTTTAAGGATTCTACTATGAAAATAGTTTGGAAATCACTGCAATGTAGGATATGTCACTATATTTTTGTCTAATATTTTATGATTTTATGGTTTATATTTTACTGTAAAATCCATCCAGACTTCATTTTGGTTTGTGATACTATGCTAGATATGATCACCTACTACTCGAGATCTTTTGCCACTGCCTTCAAAAGCCTTCTGTAAATAAAATCCAAAAAGCTGAAAGCTATACTTCCTAGACTCCTTTGCAGCTAGGCTCTAGATATGAATTAAATTCTACCAACTGGATGTGTCTGAGTGATTTTTTGAAAGGGAGAAATGAAACAAAGACCACTTGTCTCCTGGTACTGACTGTTTTCTAATGATAAAGTCATGAAAATGCCAGTACGCATCCACTCTTCACCTTCATGGCTATCCAGAGGCAATTGTGGTAATGGCCAAATTCAGGCTTTCAATAATCCAAATTCAGCTACAGTCCTGTAGCAGCCTCCTGCTTCCACCTCTTCCAAATGGAGGCAGATATAAGTGACTCCTCTGGTGGATCAGTTCTGTGATATTCCAGAATAAGTCCTTAAAGCCCAGCTTAGAGCTTTCCTCTTTAGCCCTTCTAATAATTCATAAACATCTGGTCCTGGTATTAAAATTTCTTTCCTCTTGAAGTATCCTAGTGGTTTCTGGTTTCTCAACTAAATAATGATTGTTACAGATATAAAACACTGAAAATTAAGCCAATGATCAAAGATAATATATAATGTTGGTTTACTAATACGGCCTTCCTACAAAAACTTGTAAGATCTGAAAATGTAGACCAAGAATATCTCTGGAATTGACAAACTAGGAGAGTCTTTGCAAAATCATTTTTAGAGCCCAGGATTTCACACAGCTCACTAAATTGCAGTGTCAACATTCCATTTCCCAGCGTGAATATGTAAGTTTCTATCAAGAAACACAGATCTGTTATCATCCTGGTTCTATTCATAAAGCCTGAGGCATAAATCAAGAAAGATAAGTAGTGATTATTAAAGAAACTAGCAATAATTTCAAACTGATTGCTGTGATTTGAACAGATGTTTGATAGTCAAATATAAAGATCAACAGGAAAAAATAAGTCTATGGAAAGATTTAAAAAAAACAAAAAAAAACTAAGACCTGATTTTAAATTAACTGAATAAAACATTTCAACTATACATTTAAATCCTTCCCTTGTCTAGAAGCTCGTCCCAGTTACCTTAAACCAGAATCAAATTAAAGTATTAGTTTTATAAGGATCAAGGATACCATCTCAGTTAAATGCACCTCCCTCTTGGCTGACAGCACATGTCAGAAGGAATCCAGGGGATTACATACCACTGTTACCACAGTCGGCACAGGAGATGAGTTCCTCTGGCTTCTTTTCTCGGTTTTGTTCTTTTGTACCAAGACAGAAACTACAGATGGGGATTGGTTCAGCAACGGGCTATAAAGAAAAAACAATTCACTCAGGTACAAGTAGTTTTTTTTAGTATTAATACAAAGACATTAAAATTACAGTTTTAAATTCCTATGAAAGTTATATGTAACTTTAAGACAACTGTATCACTCTCCTAAATCTCCAACTAAGTAAGGGAATTTTTACAAAGCCTGCTTTGGCTGGACCTTTACAACCAGTCCTTGTAGTGACAACTTTGGTCCAAAAAATCATATCTCAATTGGTCACTTAAAAACTAAATGACACAGTATGGATTAAACAAAGCAAATCCTTCACCGAAGATTGAAGAAATTCAACTGAACTAAGTGTAAGAAATCACAGTCTCAGTCCTTAAAAAGTTATGTCATGTGGGACAAGTGACAAATGTACAGAAATAAGCACCACATAAGGTGGCAGACGTTAAGTGCTAGAAGAGACAAACAGTAAGTGCTCTGTACAAATGAGAAAGAAATTTCAGTTGCGGTTTGGAGGAGAAGGGTTGAAAGAAGAAGATAACATGTATTAAGTACTAGTACTATGCTATGGGATCTTAACAAGTTTGTCCAAGGACAATAGATAATAATTGTTAAAACTGGGTTTAAACCTAGGTTTCTATGTTCCTCTACAGCACTGCCCCTGCCCCTCTAGCCCACAGGATGGAGAGAAAGGCAGTACAAGTGGTATAAACAAGATGAACTTAGGTGTGCAGATTGCTAAAGCCAGTACTTAAAGGATCCAGTTTCTGTGATAAGTGTGGGGGTGCGGGTACGTCAGTTTGTGAAGATTGTCACTGAATGTCTTATAGAGAAGTTGCACTTCATCCCGCAGGAAGAGAAGAACAATAGAAGGCTACTGAATCAAGAGATAATCACCTATATTTGAGGGGAAAAAAAAAATCCAGTAGCAATATCAAAGACAAATGGGGGAAAAACCTAAAGGTAACTAGAACATTTAAACAATGACTACAATAGTCTGGTGAAGACAAGATAAGAACCTGAACCAAAAAAAAAAAAAAAAGGAACAGAAAACAATAGGTAGGGACTTAGAAATCAACTAGTTATGGAAGTTAACAGAAAACGAAACGAGTTAAGTATGACGGACTTAATGAAAAGATGGTGTGAATGGTTAGGTCATTTTCAAGAAGAAAATCAGGAGAAAAAGAGATGCTGAGTTTGATGTTAGATGTGTTTAGCTGGAGGCACTCTCAGTCAAATCTCAACCATTTATATGGGACAGAGATATAAAGCCCTCAAGATTCTTTGAGTCTACTGGAGAGAACAGATTAAATGTCTGTCAGTACTATGACAGAAGTGTTACAATGAGAAACAACGGAGAAAGGGAATCAAGTAGGAGAAAGGGCTGTCAGGGGAAGGTTTCCCAGACTTAAGTTCTTCTGGAGTTCTTAAGTTCTTCAGGGAGACCACCTGATGGGGGCGTTCAAACAAAATACAGAATCAGTTTTAGGAGGAGGGGGATGAGCTTAGTTTGGGACTTATTGAGCATAATATGCCTATGGAGCATCCATGTAGCAATGCCCATGGACTTTATGATACAGGGATCTGAAGTTCAAGAGAAAGGTTAGTCTGGAAATAAAACTCTAGAAATCATATACCTACAAAATGGCATTAAGACCTTCAAAGTTGATGAGTTCTCCCATGGAGAACAGGGAGAAAGAAGAAACCTAAAGTCAGAATACCAATATTAAAGTGGCTGTTAGAGGAAACAGCTTGGGAAGGAAATTGATTAGTGAGACAGTTGGATGGTACATTAGTAATGTCCAACACAAGCAAATCAATAGTATTCCTTAGCGAAGAGATTAAATGAGAGATGAACAGCTGGAAGTTGTCTTAATAATTCTGACTCTGGTAAAGATGGCCACACCCTCGCCTTTTACTAACTAGAATTTAAATAAAAATTTGGGGAAAAAAAAGGAATATGAAAAAGAACGGGCGAGTAAAGTCAGGAAAGACTTCACTGTGAAGTAGAAACTGCAAGTAAGCTCTCAGTGAACAGTCAAGTCACTGAATGGAAGCTATTAATAGTATATTTAACTAACAAATAAATGGCTTATATCCAGAATATACAAAGAACTCTCACATGTCAGTATGGAGAAGACAGTTCAATAGAAAGCTAGGCAAAAAACTTCAACAGGCACTTCAAAACAGCAAATATGTGAATAGTATATAAATGGCCAATGAACATAAGATACTCAACCTCATTAGCCATCAAGGAAGCAGATCTCCAAGAATGGGTAGAATTCGAAAGACTGGCAATAGTAAGTGTTGATAAGAAAGTAGGACAAAAGAACTCTTACACTGCTGACAAGACTATAAATTGACAAAACTACTCTGAAAACTATTTGACATTATCTACTAAATTTAAACACAGGCGTATCAAATGACCCAGCACTTCCACTCCTTGCTATATATCCACCAAATGAAGTACACACACACACATGTACAATAAAACATACACAAACATGATCAGAACAGTATTCATAAAATTTACTGAAACAAAAATTACCCAAATAACCAGCAATGGGTGCACAGATAAATTGTGCTATATCCATACAGGAGAGTATTAAACAGTAATGAAAATAAACAAATTACAGTCAACAACTGGTATTACTATCACAAACAATACTGAATGAGAGAATAGACATGGAAGAATAATACTGCATCATTTTATTTATATAAAGTTCAAAAACAGTTCTACATTGTTGTAAGTCAAGACAGCAGTTAACCTTTAGAGAGAAAAGAAGAGGTAGTGAATTGGAAAGGGACTTCTGAGGTGCTGGTAATGTTCTTTTTCTTGACCTGGATGGTGGTTTCATGGAAGTTAATAATATTTAAGGTACATATTTACAATCTGTGTACTTTTCTGTATGTTTATTTTAATTAGAGAGTTATCAAACTTAAACTAATGAACATCTATAGAGTAAGACAATGTTACCTTTGGAATATTCTGAAAGAAATACCAACGGTGATTTGGACATTGGAGTTTGGAACTTAGAAGAATAGGCTAGAGAGATTTAAAAGACAGCAACATGCTAACTGACAGCACCCAGTGAGAAGAAGGAGTGAAGTTGTAGTAAAGGGCAGAGAACAAGGGGAAGAGAGTGGAGAAGTGAGATAAAGTCTAAGACAGAAGAATATCAACATTTAGAAGCATGGGTGGGTGGGTGGGTGGGTGGGGAGAAACAAGAAAGGACCAGTCTGAGGGAAAACAGAACCAAGAGGAAGTGATGGCACAAGAATTACAAGAAGCAGAGAGCGGGCGCCTGGGTGGCTCAGATGATTAAGCGTCTGCCTTCGGCTCAGGTCATGATCCCAGCGTCCTGGGATCGAGTCCCGCATCGGGCTCCCTGCTCCTTGGGAGCCTGCTTCTCCCTCTGCCTCTCTCTCTCTCATGAATAAATAAAATCTTTATTTAAAAAAAAAAAAAAAGCAGAGAGCAACCAACGATCAATGTTGGGAAAATAAAATATCTACTGGATTGTACAACTAAGAAATAGTTGGAAATGTCACTAATAGTGAGTCTTTTTCAGTGACAGGATAAGAACTAAATTCACAGGAACCAACAAACTGCCATAAAGGGACAGAGAGCAGACAGGAGATAGCTTTAAAAAATGGCAACGGATTTTGATGTGTTCTAGGTATTTAAGATGAGAAAGACTAAACCTAATTAAATGTGGAAGAGAAGACACACATGGTCAAAGAGATTAAATAAACAAGAAATAACAGGAACATAATATATAATAAGGCTTAAAGCTGCACTGTTCAATATGGTGAACACTAAAACATGTGGCTCTTTAAGTCTGAAATAAATGTAATTCCTCAGTCGCACCAGCTACATTTCAAGTACTCAACATTCACATGTGGCCAGTGATTATGATATTGGACAGCACAAATATAGAACAATTCCATCATTACAGAAAGTTCTACTGGATAACACTGGTTTTGGAAAAAAGGATGAATTTTAAAGCAAGGATAAAGGGACTTTATAGTATAGGATGATGTACTTGCATATTGTTTATAGGTGAAATGGTGGGAAAAGGGAAATGTTGAGGGTGCTCATTTCTGACAGCCTCATTATTTCTGGAAATTAGGAAATTAAAAATCACCTGCCAGAAGTGGGGCAGGAATTGGACAGATACAGCAGGAGACAGTGAAAGCTGACTGAGAAAACTGACAGGTGAGATTGGCTGGGTCCAAGAACAAAGATAATGAAAACAACCCTCCTATCAAAATGGAAGGTGGACAAACATTTTTCAGGCAAGAAAGAATCAGAAAAATATGTATTAACAGAGAATAAATTCAAAATAGAAAAGAGAAAAGGCGATGGAGTCCCTGCAAAAAGGCCTCCATCTCTTCACTAAAATAGAAGACAATCTCACTTGCTTAAACACAATTAGATAGGTATGGGTTTGGGCATTTACAGAGAGCAAAAAAAGTTTGGAAGTCTCTGTGTGGAAGATGAAAGAGAATCAATTAGTGATGGAAAATAAAACTGTCAATCAGCCCTAACCACACAGCTAAGATCGGAAAGTTCAATTTGTAGTATTTCCAACCAAAATGATTATACAACTTTCCTTAACACGTCGAAGCCTTGGACTGACAAAATCAGAGAGCTGTAGATTAAGGAGACAAGCCAAAGTGTAAAGTCTACTACAATACAAATACAAACATAGCTGACCTTTGAACAACACAGGTTTGAACTACCCAGGTCCACTTATAAGCAGATTTTTTTTACAGTATACTACTGCAAGTGTATTTTATCTTCCCTATGATTTTCTTATAAGATTTGTTTCTCTAGTTTACTTTATTATAAGAATACAGCATATAATACATATAACATATAAAATATGTATTAATTGACTGTTTATGTTATTAGTAAGGTTTCAGGTCAACAACGGTAGGCTATTTAGTGAAGTTCTGCGGAGCCTACTACACAGAGGTCAGAGTGCTGCGTTGTTCAAGAAGGGTCAACTAAAATGGTTGGCCACAAAG